CTGCCGGTGTTTGGGGTTATCCTTGGCTCTGTTTGGGGGTCATTCTCAGTGGTGCTGGGGGACCCTGGTTATACTGGGGGTCAGACCTGCCTCCTGCGTGCTGAGCCTGTGACTCAGCTCCTTTGAGCTCTCTGGTCCCAGGCAAGGGAAACTGGTATGTGAGGGCAGTTAGACCACACCCAGCTGTGCTCAGGGCTTGCTCCTGGCTGTCTGTCTTGGAGTCACTCCTTGGTGGGGCTCAAGATCCCCATGTGATGGGGCTGGAGAGATAGCCTTGCACGCGGCCGACTCGAGTTCGATTCCCAGCATCCCATTGGTCCCCTGAGAACCACCAGGAGTAACTCCTGTGCATCACTGGGTGTGACTTTCCAGTCCTGAGAAAGACATTTCGGTGTTTTGTTGTTGTTGTTGTTTGTTTGTTTGTTTGGGGGCCACACCCAGGGCTTCCTCCAGAGCTTTCTCAGTATTATGTGGGATGCCTAGAACAGAACCCGGCTCAGCCAGGAGCAAGCTCTGGAAAAACATGTTTAGTGTTTTGCTTTGTTTACTGTTTTTGGGCCACACCTGCAATGCTCAGGGGTTACTCCTGGCTCCGTGCTCAGGAATTACTCCTGGCAGTGCTCGGGGAACCATGTGGGATGCCGGCGATTGAATGTGGGTTGGCCGCATACCGGGCAAATGCCCTCCCCACCACGGTGTGATAGGCTCTAGTTCCTAGAAAAACATTTAAAAACCGTTTTTGTTTCTTTTGTTTGTTTGTTTTACTTTTTGGGTCACACCTGGCGATGCACAGGGGCTACTCCTGGCTCATGCACTCGGGAATTACTCCTGGTGGTGTTTGGGAGACCACATGGGATACTGGGAATCGAACCCGGGTCAGCCGCGTGCAAGGCAAACACTCTCCCCGCTGTGCTATCACTCCAGCCCCTAAAATGCTTTTTTGTTTCTTTTATCCCCACTTTCATTGCCGTTGTGATGATCCAGATTGCAAACATCTGGCTGAGGTGAGCACACGTTTCTGCAGTGGTGCTGGCCAGGTCTGCGTGGTGCTTGCCTGTGTGCTCTCTGGGGCTCGTGCTCTTCCTTCCTTGAGGACGTGTGGTCATTGTGGAGCTCACGCAGGGTGCTCACTCGGTGCTCACCAGAGCGGGCACTTTCCGGCTGTGGAACTCAAACATCCTCTAAGTGGTGGTGCTCACTGGGCCGCACTGCCTCTCGTGGTTCTGCCACATACCTGGCAGCCTGGCTGGCCGTGGCTGTGCCACAGGTTATTGGAGAAAGTGAGGGATGTGGCTCAGTGCTCAGCTCACTCTTTGCATGCACATACCCAAGCACTACGGCGGGTGGGGAGAGCAGGGAGAGTCCTACGGGAGAGGAGCCCAGGGCCTAGCACACTGAACCAGGCAGCTTCAGCGAGGGGCTTCTCGAAGGGGCCAGGCGATACTGGGGCAGCAGGGAGCCCTGCACTGGGGCGCTGCAGCTCCCCCGCACTAGGACCTGCGTTCGACTTCTCCTTCCCTTGTGGCTTTTCCAAAACTACGTACATCTCCTCCATCTCACCATCTTCCAAATGCACCAGCAAGATTTGGGGATCAGAACTTGGTGTGTGAGAGAGAAAGGGGGCAGGGAGGGCGTATGAAGGCACAAGTTGTGTTTTGTTTGGGGGGTGCTCCAGGCTCTGTGTTCTGGGTCTCACTGCTCAGGGGACCCTGCAGTGCTGGGGACTCAGCCGAGGTCAGTGATGCGCAAATTCTGGCATCTGAACTTTGAAGCCTGCGTGTGCTTTCTGCTCCGTTGCTGGCACGGAAAGGCAACCAGCCAAGAAACACCTGCCGAGACCAGAGAGGCAGGTGGGACTGTTCCCAGCCGTCCCACACCAGCTGCCTGGAGACCTTGAGGCTGACAGCAAACAGGTGTAAGCAAACGTTTATTGCTGACTGCCACCTGGTGGTCATTTCAGGAACTGGCCCTTATCTCGGGACTGGCCCTGTGCTGACTTAAAACAGTACCTGGCAGTTTGGGGGGTTGTTTTGATACTTTGGTAGTGTTATTTTTATTTTATTTTTTTATCTCTCCCCACTCCCACTTCTCTTCCCTCTCTCGATGTTTCAGTGGGGGTTCACTCAACATACTTGGCTCTGATTCTCCCACTCTTGGCTGAGTCGCTCCTCGGAGATTTGTGTGAATTGGTTGTGGTGCTCACACGTGTGTGCGTGTGTGTGTGTGTGTGTATGTGTGTGTGGTGGAGGTTGAGGGGGCCTTACTTCTGGCCATGGGGCTTTGTGCGATATTCTTTTAGTGCTTGCCACAGTGCCATGCAGCCAGAAATCACTTGTGACCCTAAGAACAAATGACAGCTAAACTCCCCTTCCGACAGAAGGCTCCCCGTGAGCCAGTACCCATGAAAGCTCTCGATGCTGGGTGGGTTGTTTTGAAATAGGGGCTCGGAGGCCGGAGAGACAGTGCGGTGGGCAGGCACTTGCCTTGCACGCGGCTGACCTAGATTCAATCCCGTGTGGTCCCCGAGCGCCGTCGGGTGTGGTGGTGAGAGCACAGGGGTGAGGTGCTTGCTTTGGACCCCTGCGGTATGGCCGGTTCCCCAGCACCATGTGGGGAGGCTGGGCAGAGCAGGATCAGGAGCAAGCCCCCGGCATCTTGTGACCCACCCCACCCTCCCAGCCACCACCACCCCAGATCACGGTCACGGTCCTCCCGTTGTTCATCAATTTGCTCGAGCAGGCCCAGTAATGTCTCCATCCTGACACTTGTTGTTACTGTGTTTGGCATATCGAATACGTCATGGGTAGCTTGCCTTGCTTTGCTGTGCGGGCGAGATACTCTCGGTAGCTTGCCGGGCTCTCCGAGAGGGGCAGAGGAATCGAACTCGGGTCGACCATATTGGATGCATGCAAGGCAAACGCCCTACCACTGTGCTATCACTCCAGCCCAACACCCCTCCCCCCCCCAGATAAATACATAAATAAATAAATAATGGTCAAGGGTCAGAGAAAGGGCTCACAGAACTGCACAGGTACTTCCCTGCGGGAGCCCCCTCAGACCCTCCCCCATCACCCCCACGGGCTCTCCCAAATCCCCACCTGATTCCCAGCTGGAAGGAGCCCTGGGGTGTGGCTCAAAACAGACAAAACAGTGCTTGAACAGAGAAACAACAAAGGACACTGCATAAGTCAGGGCCATCGCTGACCTTGGAGCACATTTGCAATCCTGGGAGATGTTTTGTTTATCATGGGGGGGAAGGGTATGGGGTACAGGGGGAGCATGAGGGGGTGAGGTTTCTCCTAGCCTTTCCTGGGTGGAGGTTAAGGATGCGGCCAAACTTTCCTACAAGACAGAATTATCCGGTCATGGAATGCCTTTAAATTGAGAAACCTGGGGCCAGGATAATAGCACAGCAAGGAGGGCTTGCTTTGCACACGGCGCCCTGGGTTTGATCTCTGAAATCCTAGATGGCCTCTTGAGCACTGCCAGGAGTGATTCCAGAGCACAGAGTCCTGAGCGTCACTGGGTGTGGCCTCAAGACAAAACAAAACAAAACAAAACAAAAACAAATTGAGAAATCCTGGAACGTGGCAGTGCCAGGGATGGAATCGAGGGCCTCACACATGCGAGGCAGAGCCTGAACCGGACTCAACTGCTAAGCCCTAGTCCCGGGGCCGCCTTAGATGGGCATTCTTCTTGCGTGCAGGGACCAGCAGGAGGGGAGCAGAGTGGCATGAAACGGGCAAGGGGCTCTCATGGGCGAGACACAGGAGGTGAACGAGACTCCAGATTCTTGTTCTCTCCAATATACTCGTCAGAGGTCAGCCACAAGCAGCTCGAGAGACCGAAGGTCATTCAAATGGAATGAAACTGGACTTGGAATTCCTGGCTTGCTCTTCAAGCCCGTGTTCTTCCTGAACACGTATCTGGCCTCTGTCTCTAAATTCCTCTCCTTGTCTTCTTCCACTCTGGGGGAGCCTGTGTTCTCTCTTGAACACATACTTCCTCTCTCTCTCTCTCTCTCCCCTCACATATTTTGTGCTTATTTTTGGTTTTGGATATGCCCCAAACAGTAACAACAAGTCTCACAATTTCTTGTGAGACATTATTGGTGTCCGCTCGAGCAAATCGATGAACGACGGGAAGACAGTGCTACAGTGCTTTGGGCCACACCCCGCAGTGCTTGGGACTTCCTCTTGGCTCTGTGCTCAGGGATCGCTGCTAGTGGTGCTCAGGAGGAGGGCGCATATGGGATGCCGGAGATCAAACCCAGGTCTGCTGGATGTAAAGCCAACGCCCTCCCCTGTACTCCAGTCCCTGCCCTCACATCTTTCTTTCCTTTTTTTCTTTTTCTTTTTTTCCCCTTCACTTTTTGGGTCACACCTGGTGATGCTCAGGGGTACTCCTGCCTTTGCACTCAGGAATTACCCCTGGCGGTGCTCATGGGACCATATGGGATGCTGGGAATCGAACCCAGGTGAGCCGCATGCAAGGCAAACGCCCTCTCCGCTGTGCTATTGCTCCAGCCCCATTCATATTTCTAAATAAATTCAGTTCAGTAAGAACTACCTTGCTCCACACAAAATAAAGACAGAAATTTAGATTCCTGGACAGCAAAAGCCACACTCGCAGGGCTCAATGGCACAGTCACAGAAAATTTCCGTGAGCAAAACAAAGTTTTATTGGACAGCCCTGTCCCACCAAGGTCAACGCTAAGAGAAAGGCTAGCTTAGAGGAACGGCGAGAGGAGGGCTCCGGTGAGCTCCAGGACCCGGCTGCTGGGGAAGTCGCAGACCGCCTGTGAGAGGCAGGGGGAAGTTCAAGGCGAACAGGAGTCTCTGATACACGGGCACGGACCCATGCAACTCGCTCGCCCCGCAAGAATCCTTGGCTCCTAGGCACACGGCCCAATCACCCCCAAAGGGCAGCAGGGGCCAGAACAGGCCCGGGGTCCCGGGATGCCACTGCCGGAGTACTGCCCCTGCTCTGCTCGGCGCGGGTCAGGGCAGCCGGTGTTGGTACACTGGTCCCGTCCTGAGCATGGAGCGCCCTTGAGTCATGCTGCCCGAGGAGTAGCAGTAGCGGGCCACGCGGACCTGGGTCTTGGCTTCCTGGTAGAGGCTCAGCATGTACCTGAGGATGAAGGGCAGTGCCAGGAAGTGGAGGAGCATGCGCAGTATCTGGAAGGTGAACTTGAGGTAAACGAGTTCCTTGAACTGATTCTTGATGATCCCTTTGGCCAGCATCCCCAGGGAGAAGGAAAGGAGCTCGTAGATGACGATCCATCCGCTGTAGACCGCCAGGCCCACATAGCTTTTGGTGTGGAGGCAATAGAGGAAGAAGGCGCTGGTGCTCAAGGTGATGGAGGAGAGGAAGATACTGATAAAGACCTCCTGGGCCAGGATCCAGTTGACTGTTTTGGACTGCACCTCCCAAAAGAGACTGAACCGAAGCATATATCTAATCCACACCGTCTGGTTCATGTCGAATACGAAGAGCTGGATAGTATTGAGGACCGTGAAGATGCCAGATGTGAAGGAGATTATCCTGTTCATCTTGTGCTTGTCTCACCAGTGTGTTTCCTGCAGGGAAGAAAGGACGTGGCCTGCATGGGGCTGGAGCGATAGCACAGCGGGTACGGCGTTTGCCTTGCACGCGGCTGACCCGGGTTCAATTCCCAGCATCCCATATGGTCCCCCGAGCACTGCCAGGAATAATTTCTGAGTGCAGAGCCAGGAGTAACCCCCAAGCATCGCCGGGTGTGACCCAAAAGAGCAAAAAAAAAAAGAAAAAAGAAAGAAAGGACGCTGCCTGCAACAGCACGGCGAGGCGACAGAGCAGCCAGCCAGAGTCCCCACACCTGAAAGTGGCTGACAGTTAAGGGACAGTGGGCCCACTCCCTGCTGTGGCCTGGCCAGCTGTTGCTGGTCCCATTCATGGGAAGGGAGTGGTCCATCCCCAGAGGCATGTTCCAGGCAGCGCCCAGCAGGCTGCGTGGTGCCCATCGAGCCTAGAGGTAGCTCAAAGGGTGACCCCATGGATGTCAGGCTGTGGGGTGGGGAGGGACCTTTATCTGGAATAATGAGAAATTATGAGGGTTCTGGGCCCCTGAACAGGGTTCTCGGACCCTGTTGCAGTGCGAGTGTGCAAGTGTGTGCACAGGCTTGCTCACGCCCAGGAGCTTGGGCACCAAGCAGGTGTTGGGGGATTCAGCGGCTCCAGACCCCACAGGCTCCGGGCTCAACCGCTCAAGACTGGCCCGTGGTCACTTGTGCTTTGGCTCAACCAGTTCCAGACGGGATCTTCCCAAGACCCCCTCTTCCAGCTGGACTAACTTGCTGGAGTGTCTGCGAAGCCCACGAGACCCTTTTCTTCAGGGGTCACTGATTTATCCTGAAGAGCACAGGAGGGTAAGAGAGGGTGCAGGGCTGCCCGCTGTGGGCTCCACTCTTTCTGCACCTCTTCCTTTCTTTTCTGTTTTATAAATATATTCACTTGTTGGTTGGTTTGATGCCACCCCGTCCGCTGGCAGAATCCAGGGCTCACATACTCAGATCCTCCCGAACGGATGCCAGGGACCCATCCCCTAGTCCTGCTTTATTATCTCACCTGTCCTCTCGGTTTGGTTTGGTTTCTAAGGATATTTTATTTCCCCCTATCTTTTTCTTTTGTGGCAAGGGGTTTGAGCCATACCCAGAGATGCTCAGGGCTCACTTCTGGTTCTACACTCAGGGGTCACTCCTGCTGGTGCCTGGGGGCTGAATGGGATGCTGGGTATCCAACCCGGGCAACCCGTGTGCCCGGCAGAAGCCCTCCTCGCTGTGCTGTCTCTCTGGCCCGCTCTCTTAGAATTTTTATGTACTTGTGTTGTGTTGCTGTTGTCATATCTGGGCTGCACGTGTGGTCGTGTCACTGGGGATCACAAGACGTAGAGCTGGCAGAAGCACTCAGAGGTGGGGGGCGGTGCCAGGGATTGAACTCAGAGTGCAACACGCTGAGCCCCCTGCTGGGTCCTCCCATCGGGAGGCCTCGTTACTCAGGGATGATGGAGCCCACCCCCGCTCCCCACAGCCACCCTGAGTAGCTCCCAGGTCACCTCACCCACACAATGAGAAGGTGTCCTTAGGGTTCTCCACACTGAGGGAACTCCAAGGCTTTGGGGAGCCGTGAGCCAGCACCTGCGGGTAAAGACAGAAAAATGCATCTGGGAACTGCAGTCACCTGGAAGTTTGCACCCCAAGACTGTGTCTCTTGTGAGTTACAGGAGGGCAGCTTCTCTCAGCTCTTTGAAGTCAGAAAACTAGGGGCTGGAGCGATAGCACAGCGGGTAGGGCGTTTGCCTTGTACGCGGCCGACCTGGGTTCGATTCCCAGCATCCCATATGGTCCCCTGAGCACCTCCAGGGGTAATTTCTGAGTGCAGAGCCAGGAGTAATCCCTCTGCATCACCAGGTGTGACCCAAAAAGAAAAAAAAAAAGAAGAAAAAGAAAACTAGAGTCTTCTCAAGACCTTGGAGTCATTCCTGCCCCCAGCCCCTTCCTCACCGCAGCTTCCTATACCTCGAGCGTCACCCGCTCCCCAGTCCCTGGGAATGGAGCTCTGGTCCCTGGCCGCGGCTGGTGGTCTGACTGTGGAGGGGGCTTGTGGCAGCAGCGTTTCCCCTGGGACGTGGTGTTTGGGATGCCCAGACCTTATGCCATCCCATTTTCTGGACTTCCCGCCTTTGTCTCCCCTTTATCATTGTTGTTGAGGTGACCTGTGGGGTGGGGGGGTCACACCCACTTCGTTGTGGTGCCCACACAGTAGGCTGTTGTCCCCTGGAGAAGGGTGTCAACCAGGACTCCTGCTGAGTGCCATGGAGATGGCGCTAGGTGTGTGGGGGCAGTGAGGATTCTGCTACCTTAGTGACCCGAGCGCACTGGCTGTATTTTGCTCTGCAGGAAATGTATGAGATAAGTTGTGGGGAGTGATAGAGGTCCTCGATGTGCAGGAGTGAGAATCAGGGAGGCTTTCTGGAGGCAGTGACCAGATATACAAGGAAGAGAGCGGGTCTTCACCCTTGGGAGTGAAGGGAGTAGCGGGGCACAGGGATGGGCTAAAGCCATTTGGTTTGTTTCGCTGGGCTTTTTTTCGGTGGGATGTGGGGGTGGTGATGTTTGGGCCACACCTGGTGATGCTCGGGGTTACTCCTGGCTCGGCACTCAGGAATCACACCTGGCGGGCTCGGGAACCAAATGGGATGCCGGGATCCAACCTGGGTCAGCTGGGCATACGGCGAGTGCTGAGTCCTCTGTAGTATCACCCGGTCCTCTGAAGCAAGATAGCTTTTGTTGAAACTGATTTTTTTTTCTTTTTGGGTCACCCTTGGCGATGCACAGGGGTTACTCCTGGCTCTGCACTCAGGAATCACTCCTGGTGGTGCTCAGGGGACCATATGGGATGCTGGGAATCGAACCCAGGTCGGTTGCGTGCAAGGCAAATGCCCTACCCGCTATGCTATCACTCCAGGTCCAAAACTGATTTTAGAAGATGTGAGAAGTGTGTGTGTTTGAGAGACCCCAGGCTTCTCAGAGTGGACACAGGCAAGCAGAGAAGCAGAAACACAAGCAGGCAGGATTTGTATTCAAGGGAGAACACAGGCTTAAAGAGCAGCCCGGGATGAGGGTGTGTGTGTGTGTGTGTGTGTGTGTGTGTGTGTCTGTCTGTCTGTCTGTCTGTGTCTCTGTGTATGTCTGTACCTGTCTGTGTGCTTGTGTCTGTGTCTGTGTGCCAGTTTGTATCTGTGTGTGTTTGTATGTGTCTGTGTCTGTGTGTGTCTGTATGTGTTCGTGTGTGTCTCTGTGTATATACCTGTGTGTGTGACTGTGTGTGTGTGTGTGTGTTATGATGATGATCTGATCCATATTTTAGAAACCCTTTTTAGGGGTGGAGACACAGTGCAGTGGAAGAGTGCTTGCCTTGTATGCAGATTCCATCCCGGTCAACACAGGTGCCCCAGGCCCCATCAGCAGTGATCCCTGAGCACAGAGCCAGAGGTAAGCCCAGAGCACAGGTATGCCCCCAAAACTAAAAGAAAAAGAAAAACAGAAAAAAAATCTTTTTTTTAGGCTATGGATGTGGCCTCCCACATTGTACATGCAAGGCCCTGGCTCTCATCCATGCACTGCAAAAAATTAAAAACTGACGGGCTTTGCATTAGGCTACCAGCGCTGGGCCACCATAGGTGGGAAAAGGTGTCGTCCCTTTGCCTATTCCTCCTGGCGACCCAGTGGCTGCCGTCTTCCAGAGGCAATTGTACAGACGGGTACAGGCCAGCAGTGACAAGACACGCAGGGCCTCATGGGATGGTGGCGGAGCCCTTGTCCTCCCCCGCCCCAACAGACCCTGAGTCACCGCCCACAAACCGCCCCTCTGGGTCCTTAATTAAGCTGCTTAATGGCCGTGATCCCAGAGACACACCAGCAAATCGAATCTCGGAACCCAGCAGCTTTTGGCAGAAATCCCTCCTCGAGCGGGCACCAGTAATCCACCAGAAATCCCTCCAGACTTAATTATTAAAATTTCAGATTCCAAATCGTGTGGCCGCAATTGCTATTCTTATGCTATTCATAATCATCAATAGAAAACAAATCGTCTAATGTTGCCTTTTCAGCAGATCTGAGTGTTGGGGTAAAATCTCAAATAATAATGGTGGGTCTGGTGTCGAAATATTGAATGTAATCAAAGTAGAGAGAGAGAGTAATGTGGAAATCATCTGCCACACAGGTAGGGGGAGGGTAGGGATGGGTGTGGTATACTGGGGTTTTCGGTGGTGGAAAACGTGCATTGGTGGAGGGTGTTTCATCATTGTATGACCGAGACTTAAGCCTGAAAACTCTGTAATTGTGCTCATGGTGATTCAATAAATAAATTTATTAAAAGAAAATGGAAAAGTCACGGCCTGGGAGAGAGACCCAAGGGCTGAGCACAGGGTGCAGGATTCATAGGGCGATGGGGGGGAGACCTGGCTCAGTTCCTAGCATTACGTGTCCCACACCAGCTGTGCCCGACTCGCCACTGTCCCCAGAAAAGCAACCATGGAGACTCTCGCTGCCGCCTAAGCCATGGACCAGCAGGCAGCAGACCGGCCTGCTAAACTGCCCTTCCCCATTGGCCGACCACCTGGGGCACAGAGGGCGCCTGAGGCTTTGACTCTGGAGCAGAACCTTGTTGAACAGATGCTCTGGATTGGTTGTTGTGGCCTGGGTTTTTTTTGGTTTTGGGGACACACCAAATGTTGCTCAGGGGTTACTCCTGGTTCTGCACTCAGCAATCACTCCTGGCGGTGCTTGGTGACTCGGGCATTCTGGGGATCAAACCAGGGTCGGCTGTGTACAAGTCCAACACCCTACTCTCTGTGCTATTGCTCCAGCCCTGGCAGTGGTTTTGTTGTTGTTTGGTTGTTTTTTCTGTTTTTATTTTTTTTTTAATTGTGGGCCACACTTGGCGATGCTCAGGGGTTACTCCTGGCTGTGCACACAGGAATCCCTCCTGGTGGTGTTAGGGGACCATCTGG